GAATGATGTGTTGTGTTGAATCATTACGATCTTGGTTTGTATGTCGAGAGTTGGTTGAAATCCTTCGTGATTTCCGGACTACCGGGATTATGGGAGCTTAAGTACAGGAATTTGATCGCTTCGGTGATTGTTTTTGTACTTACGTTCTTATGATTTGGTCGGTTCTGTTACAGTATCTTTGTTGAAACGCACCTCCACTTTCTCAGCGTCGGCGTACTGGTTGGCGGTCGTGATCATCTCGCCGATGCCCGTAGGCGGCTTGCGGTTGAACTTGGACCAGAGCTCACGATGGTGAAGTCCTCGAACGAAGGCGATGATGACCTCAGCTTCCGTGATATTGGGGATAGAATTCCTCATCTCGGAGAAGCGTCGGATGTAGCTGCGGAGGAGCTCGGACGGCTTTTGGGTGATGCGGTTGAGATCGTGCTTGGTGCCCGGCCACGTACACGTAGCCATGTAGTTGTCGGTGAAGACCTTCTTCAGCTCTTCCCAAGACCCAATGGAGTCCGGGGCAAGGCTTGTGAACCAACTCATGGCGGGCGGCATGAGCATGACGGGGAGGTAGTTTGCCATGATGTTGGTGTCGCCTCCGGTGGCGTGGACAGCAGTGGCGTAAGCCTGCAACCACTGGGTTGGGTTCATCCTTCCTTCATAGGGCTCGACCCCAGTGATTTTAAAGCCACGTGGCCACTGGAGTGTTCGGAGCGCCCTGGTGAGTGCTGGAGGTCCTTTGGGGTTGCCGGCGGCAATTGGCTCTAGAGCTGAGTCCGGGTTACCGTACTCTTGCTCGTACTCCTAGCGGCGGCGTACTTCATCTTCATGGCGACCGAAGCGATGTTGCTCGATACGCCATCGTGCATCCTGGAGATTACTGAGGTGCACTCGAGCGTCCTGTTCGACCTCCTGGTCGTGCTGGCGATGGTGCTCAGCGCGGTGGCCCCCAGCTCCATCCTAGAGGGGCAGTGACCGGTCGGCGAAACGGCTTTGGCTAGGGCGGCGATTGGATCTTGGCGCGGCTGATCGATGAATCGTGCTTGTCGAGCATGAAGGTCTTTGATCCTGGCGGATCTCATTGACCTGGCAGTGTGCCACTTTGAGCATGGCGGCGACCTTGGCGACCTCGGGAGTTTGTGGGAGCCGGGCGAGCTCGTTGGCGACCATGGCCAAGTTAGCGCTCAGAGTTTTGTAGACGTCATGGCCATCGACATGGAGGAACTCTTCGTCAAGGTTGCGATGGAGCGGCCTCCCTTGCGAGTCGAATTGGTTGTCACGAGCGGCCTCAACCATCACAAGGGCGCGCTCGTTTTCACGGCGCTGCGCGCGGTTGACGTTCCTGTTTTCACGGGCGGCGCGTTCCTCATCGGTTTCGCCGTTCTGAGGAGGGCTGTCGATGCTGACGTTGAAGATTGCGCCACCCCAAAAAGGAGGGAGAGGTGGTTGCTCGGTGAAGGTTTCGACGAGGGTCTCCATGGAGCCCTGAGATTCGGAGTCCGGACTTTCCTCCAAGATGGTTTGGAGGGACGCTCCGAGGCATCGGCTGGCGTGCAACATGTTGACTGTCGGTGGAAGCTGGTTGGCGATCTGGTCGACGAGGGGATGGATATCCTCCACCTGGTCGGCGAATTTGCCCCTCAGGGCATCTTGGTATGTAGCGGCGGTGTTGGCGAGCCCGAAAGGCAGGGCCGTAACCCTCGGAGTGTGTCGAGCAGCTTCCGATAGATCTAGATCGGAGAGTGGTCGGCCTTGAACGAAAGTGTGTAGAGCCGACTCGACGACGGAGAGGCAATCGGCGAGCTTTAGATCAACCCGATCGATGGATTCGATCATATCGTCATTGTTGATGTGCCTCCTCTGTTTACGAGGAAGCAAGCGGCGAGTCATCGACGAAGGCGACCTCGGAAGCGGAGATCAGATCTGCAGTTGTAGGTGCGGGGGTGGTCAGCACAGAACGGATCTGCACCGGCTCAAGGAGCTCTCCGACTCCATCAGCGTTGATGACCCACGAGATGGATCCGACCGTGAAGATCTGGCCAGACTGCGGGAGGGACGAAGAGCCTGCGGAAAAAATCATCTTGTTCGACAAGGAAACAGCACGCACACCCCTACCTGGCGTGCCAACTGTCGACAGAATATCGTCGGCTGTCCTCCGAGGGGTATCCCACGAAGGTAGATTGATCGGAAGAGGAGCGCGTGATCAAGAACAAGAAGGCAACAGAGATACACGAGTTATACAGGTTCAGGCCGTCAGTATGACGTAATACATTACTCCTGTGGTCTATTGGTTTGTATTAGCTATCGTATGATATGCCGTGATTTTGGAGGGGGTTCCTGCCCGCCTTATATAGTCCGGGGGGCAAGGTTACAAGTCGGTTAGATCTGAGAGATAACCGGAAAGTAATAACAGATTACAAGAATCATGGGATCGTACGTATCCTAACAGATCTCGTAGTATCTTCAGGATATCTTCCTTATGTCTTGCGGGAGGCGCCGAGCAGAGTCGTGCCCCGCAAGGCTTCGTCTTGTGGGCTGAGCCACCCCTGGGGGCGCAGCCCATGTGGTCTGCCGTGGGTATCCGGGTCGTACCCCCCACACTGACAAAGCTGAAAGGTGTTCCTCCGGAAGTCGTCATTACAAGGCTATGTGATGATGCCTAAGCACCTTTGTTAAAAATGTGAACAGCGTATATTTGTATGCTATATTATGGACTAGCTCCAATCTTTGTGAACAAAGGCTCTGTTATTTATGTAGTTTTTCACCACTTCTGATTTGTTGGAGGCGCACACAGATGAAAGTATGCATGGATATTGTAGTAGCATGGTAATTCATGTGCAAATATAATAGCTATTTGTATTATATATCGTAATGGCATGGGGCATAAGTGTAGACAACATTATTTTAGATTAAGTTTTGTAGTGGTATATGTGAGTCACTTAGACGTATATTTAGGATTATTTGACTAGTTTGTCATAATGGGACATTATGTGAATAATATTCCTCTATTTTTATTTTCTAAGATTTATTCTTTTTTCCTAGCGCATCCTCCGAGGATTAATATACAGAACCTCTATCATAATTTCTAATTGCAATAGTACTCCCTCCTTCCCAAAATAAACCAATTCCTAGAATAACCCTAAGTCAAATTATATTATGTTTGATCAACTTATGGCACCAAATATAACATCAATGGCACTAAATAAGTATAGAAGAAATTCTCACATGGTATGGCATCGTAAATTATATTTTAACCATTAATTTATTTTATATTCTATTATTTATGATTATTAGATAATACATTTTATTATAAGCTTAATAGTATTAGCAGAAAGTTGTTAGCCAAATTGTTGATCAAAGATTATAAAGTTTGTCTCTTGACGTATGTGAAATGTCCCATAAACTGGACCAGAGAGAGTATATATTTTTTATATATCTAGTGATACTATTTTGGTACAATATCATTGTTGATAGCAAAAATGTGCCAAAGTACGTAACGAACTCCTCTCGTCGAGATGATATAAAATATATTTGGATCATCTCATTTGGAGTCATTTGGTTGAAGATATGATTTTAAGGCGCTAAACTAGACAAACCGGCCTGGTTGGACGTTGGATTCATGGGCACGACCATGCCCCACAGTTTTGGCCCGGCTCAGGCACGACACGGAACAATAGCCGCCATGCCTGTGTTAGCACGGCCCGATGGAAGGACCATGCCTGGGCCTCTCCCTTAGCACGGCCCGATTAGGGGCGAACCGAATGCAGCCCGCTAACTTTCCATATATAATAGACTCCAAACCTTAGCCCCTTCCTTCTATCCATTTATGATTCTTCTTCCTGCCGCCTTGTGTATGTTTTACCGATGTTGCGTCCCCTCCCAAACCACGATGCCGTGCCCCCTCTCTTCAGGCCTTCACCAATGTCGCATCCCCTACCTCCCCTAATCTCTTTCATACCGCTCCTCGACCTCGATCTCCCACATCAACTAGTCCCTGATCTCGCTCCCGGCAAACGCTCCTGTCTAGCGAGCAGGGTGTGGAGGCGCGCTCACCCGCGGTGTCCGGCGCACAGAGTTAAGGTGCGCTCATCCACGGCAGCCGATGACACGCGACAACGGCGACGGAGCAGCACACAAGGCGGAGCAGCGCGTGACGACAACAGCGAAGCAACGCACGGGGATAGCACGTGGGCCTAGGCCGGCACGACGGGCTCGATAGGCCGATGGACCGGCACGGCACAACCTGAGGCTTATAGGGTCGTGGCTGGACCGTAGGTGCAGCCCATGGGCGGGCATGGCATGACCCAATGAGCCAGGCGTGCCGTGCCGGCCCAACTCCCCATCAGGTCTTGCCCTTTGCAGGCCTGTGCCGTGCCAAACTGAACGACCCATTTGGCTATCTATAGTGAAAATTGGCTAGGCCGGTTTCAGGATCCGGCTAAGCTTGTTTTCATGCTCAGAGTCCGTGTTGAATAATCTAACCCGATGAAAACTTGCTTTTTGTCGTGGGAATCTCGTTGATTTCATTTTGGAGACGTTTTTCTACAGTGACAAGACCGACCCCTCTATATATGTCAGAGGTTCATGGCCGATTGGGGTATCCAACGTCAAATCTTCAAAAAAATCAATCTACTACCTTTTCTCTTACCTCAAGCTTTTCGAACCCCTCGTGTCTCTCGACGAGATTTCCCGGTATGGGTGGTCTTGCCAACCCAAAAGCAACCTGGTTGTGCCCCTCTTTGACAAATCTTCCCGGGCGGTGCTAGGCCATGTGCGGCCTCGCTCGAGCGTGCTAACTCTTGCAGATGTGTGACCCGAATCGACGTTACAGTCATGCATTTATGTTTTTTTTCTTTAAAATTATTTATACTTAAAATAACTCTAGAAGTTGGTTTAATTTTGTATGGAGAGAGTATTAGATAAATATAGTAATAATAATACTGAAAAGTGTCGCACGCAGTTGCATTTCAAAATTTGCTTCTCGTCGTCAGTTAAATAGCAGGCATATATTAAAACATGTGTAAATAGAGGACGAAGCAAAGTAGTCGAACGGTGAAGAATGCGACAAGCACGAGTAGGGGGCTCAACGTGTTGCTCCAGCGACCCATGAGCCCCAGGGCGAAGGGGTAGAGATGCACCACTACGTACGCGTTGAACGCCAAAGCGAACACCGCCATTGGGCCATCCCTCCACGACCCCCCTTCCATCGCTGCAACCATGGACGTCAGGTTCACCGCTAGCACCACGGCCGTCGGGACCATCAGCACCGTCCACCTCACGGCGTAGAGCTCAGCGAACCTGTCTTTCACACTGCTGGCAGCACTTGTGCTCGTCGCACTCTGCTTGGACGTCAGCTTGAACGATATCTCCTTCCCGGCCGCGACCTTGAGCGCCACCTGCACCGCCGCCGCCAGGTATGCGCCCGTGGAGGACACCATCCAGAACTGCTGGTTCCGCCACCAGTCGACCAACGCTATGCCGGACCACCTGGCCTCCAGGACGGCCACCATCGCGAGCGTCAGCATCAGAGCCGCAACAAAGGCGATGTACGTGGCAGACAGCGGCCTGATGATTATTGAGAAGAAGGCGCCGCCGGTGGTGGCGCCGTTCCCGGTCACGAGCTGGATCGCCGGGAAGACGCCGCAGTAGGCTATGAGAAAGATGGAGGTGAACGGGTACACCGTGGTGTTGAGGTACGCCAGGCGCTGCAGCGGGTGGAGCCGGCCGCCGGCGAGGAGGGCGTTGTTGCGGGAGAAGAGTATCTCGAGGGAGCCCGCCGCCCAGCGGAGCACCTGGTACAGCCGGTCTGTGAGGTTGATGGGCGCGGTGCCGCGGAACGCGTCCGGCGCGGTGGCGCAGTAGGCGGAGCGCCACCCTCGCCGGTGCATGCAGAAGCTCGTGGCCACGTCCTCTGTCACGGTGCCGTACATCCAGCCGATGTCCCAGCCCCACGTCGTCCCGTCCTCGTAGCCGCACGAGACGAGCGCGGTTGCCTCACCAATGGCAGCCGCGTCGAACGAGCACGGCGGTGATGAAATGCTGACCGTGTCCCATTGCTCCGATTGGTTCGTTAGGACGGCATGCACCGAACGAAGGAACGGCGTCGACACGCCCAACTTGTCGGCCTCAGTGCCAGTGGCAACGCCCTTGCCAGCGTCGTCGCCGTGTGGTCTCCAGAGCGGTGGGTCGACGCCGTATAGCGCCGCACGGCGAAACACGCAGCCGGTGCCCATGTAGATGGGTCCCTGAAGGCCATCGAGGCTGGGTTCAGTGCAGTCGAAGAAGACGCGGTTGTGGTTCGCGTAGCGGTCCGCGGGGTCGACGCCGTCGAAGCGCTACGGGAACTGGACGAACGCCACGTCGCTGCCTTCGCCGTCGAGCATGTGGCAGACGCCGGCGCGGAGAGCCTGCGAGTTGTTCACGTAGTGGTCGCAGTCAAGGTTGACGATGAAGGGCGCGTTGGAGAGCACGGCCGAGGCACGGAGCAGCGCGTTCATGGCGCCGGCCTTGCCGTGGTGCACGCGGCCGCGCCGCTTCTCCCGGCACATGTACACGAGCGCTGGAACCCGCACGTCGACGGAGCTGAGGTCCAGAAGATTGCTGACACCACCGACGGTGGTGCTGACGCCAAGTTGTGGCGTGCTGCCGGGAGTATCGAGTACCAATTCAACAGCTCCGGCATGATCTTCCGCGGTGCCACGCCGCCAGCAGCTTCCATCGGCCAGCGACGTCGTCGACCGCTGCCGCCACCGCAAGTCTTCGGCTTGCAGTGCGTCGATCCGCAGCCGCAGTTCTTCGTACTCCCGGCGCACGCGCCTCCGGTCCCTTGCCAGCTCCGGCCACGCCCTTCCCTTATAGTCACCCCTCCTCGCCTTGACGCCGCCATTACTGGCGCCGGGGCTGAAGTAGGCCTCTGGGTTCCTCGGCTCCACCGCGTGCTTCCGGCAGAACGGCACCCACAGTCCAGCGAACCGGGCAGCCTCGGCGACCGCGTCGTGCGTGAGCAGAGCGCCACTGTCGTCCGACACGTAGCACGTGAGCTTTTCTGCGGGGTAGTCCGCCGCGAGGATGGAGAGGATGGTGTTCACGGTCACCAGCGGTGGCTCCTTCTCGGTGTCGGCGGTGGTCACGAATACATCCATGGCCGGAAGCATCGACTCATCGAGCGCACTGACGAAGACAGTGCGCCGGACAGGCTGCATCTTGGGCAGCTGGTCCAGCATCCACATCAGGGCAAACCAGAGCTCCCCGGCGATGGACACCATCCACATGCCCAGAACTGTACTTTTGTCGTCGGTGCCTGTGGAGCTAATCATGGCAAGAGCAGTGCTGATTCGCCACTTGAAGAACAGCACGAAGATGCCCATCCGGACGATTATCGTGAGCCTACAAACACCAGGGTTTTCGCCACTTAGTTGCCTATGTTTGTCACATGACTTTTAGTAATTTTTACACATAATAACTTATAGTAATATTTATATTAACTACCTTACTCCCTCTTTCCACAAATCAATGTAACTATGGGTTACGTGCAAGTCAAATTAGTTTAACTTTGACCGAGTTTATGGTGAATAGTATTAACATTTATGCCTTCAACTAGCTAACATGTCCGTATGTTGCAATGGGAGAAAAAAAACTATCAAATTAAAATAAGTTAATGTCGGCGACAATATGACAATACTAAGATTTTATCAAATTAAAATGCAATCTTGATATATTTTTTCTCCTATTGCAAAGCAAATAAATATTTAGATGTATTATATAATAACTTTAACTTTTTATATTATCCTTGTGTTTTTATAGTTAAACATCGAGTTTTGTGGCCTTTGAGGACCCACAAAAGTCTATAATTTTAATCTCTGATTAAAGTCGACACGGAGTTATTGTCGTGTAAAGGATTGATATACATTTATTTAAACTAAATTAGACCATTAATAACTTAAGATTTTGATTCACATATTGGTTACTTGAACCGTCGGCTAATCACAGTTTTAATAAAAATAAGTTTTATTTTTAATCAAAATTACATTGACAAATTAGTGGTAGAAATCTCTATTTATTATATTATGGATGGATCAATGGTTCAAAACTTCAAACGCCTATATAATAATAGGAGTATTATATTTATTATATGTTTTTTTTTACTTTTTGGGAAAATCACCTGAGTGGATGAATGGACTGCAACCAAAAAAACAAGAAGATCCAAAACGAAAAGGAATCTATGGAAGGTGAAAATGGAATCGGATGAAAAAGTGCAACGAGGCTTAGCCCTGGGCAAAATTAACCGAGAACCGAAAACCGAACCGAAAGAATCGGAACCGAAACCGAAAGAACTGGAACCGAAAAATTCGGTTCCTTATTCAGTTCCTGATATTGAGGAACCGAAATAACCAAAGAAAATTCGGTTCCTACTCTCGGTTAACCGAATTAACCGAAAGAACCAAATTACATGAATTATACTTCACTTACTTGTATTTTGTAGGACTATGTTTGGTTTATGTATAGTGTTTTATATTTGAACTGCTATATATTTGTGTTACTATATTGCTATTGTTTTCTTATATATTATTATTATTAAAAATGAATATAGTGTTGCATAAATTTGCCTTAGAACAGGTATATTTATTATTGTCTTGAGGTCTTCTGAAAAAATTCGGTTAGTTCGGTTAGAACCGGAACCGAACCGAAATAACCGTGAACCGAAATACTTGGTTCCTAAATTTTTTTGGAACCGATCGGTTCCTGTTTTCTAGGAATCAAATTTCATCAATAACCGAGGAAATCGAACCGAGAACCGAACGCCCACCGTGAAGGAGGCTGTCGAGGTTCACCAGACGTTTCATCATCATTCTCTTGCACTGCCAAACGCGTGGTGGTGGTGTTCGTTTTCGTTTGCCAAATGTTAGCAGCAGAGGCAGTTCCAGGACGAAAGACTTGACCGCATGACGCATCCCGCACCATATCCACCTCCGTGCATGACTGGGTGACGTCGTCACAATCTGCTCTACTGCTTGGCCGAGTTCGCGTGTAACGTCATCGTCGTCGTTAACTGAAAACGAGGTGCCCAGGTGCTCGAAAGGGTGGCGTTGACGAACGTGGAGGCGAAGCGGAGTGCGGCGACGCACGTCCAGAGGCAGCGCGCTAGCGCCACGAGACCGCGGCCGTGCGCTCCGCGTCCCGCGCGTCGGGCAGCAGCCGGATGATGCGCAGGAGCACATCGTCGCCGAGGCCGCTGATCGGGTCCCCGTGATGGTCGGTGGAGTTGTCCTCGGATGATCGGAGGAAAAGACACGGAGGAAAGGAGGGAAAGAAAACTAACGTGGATATGGAAAAAAGGATTTAGAGTTTTAGACTGACAAAAGACCGAAACGTTGAAGAAGATTAGAGGTGGACGAAATGTTAGAGGTGGCAGAAATTTTGCCTCTTTAATATTATGGATGAACTAGATTTACTACAAAAATATATTTCATAATCAATTTAATGATATTTTTAAAAATAATTTTGGTTAAACTTCAAATTGTTTGACTTTTCAAAAAATGAGATTGCATGCTTTTGTGAGCGAAGGAAGTACATGTTTTTAATAAGAACCACTTTGATAATCATTTAAAAAGAATACTGTTGATAATTTACGATCCGTGAAATGTTACCTTATCTATTACTCCTTCTCTTCTAAATTGTAAGCATTTCTATTTTTTAGATATATAGTTTTTCCTATGTATTTAGATATAATGTGTATTTATATATGTATGCATCAAGAGTAGGATGTGTATAGCTTATGTTCGTAATGGTGAATATTCGTATCTGTGTTTGTACTGTGATTTGTAAAAAAAAACTAAAATTCATTGTTGATTGATAGAGTGGAAGAATAAGATGTGTAAGCTAATTTGATTTTGTTAACAGGCACGCCAGTAAAAGCTTTACAAATGTTAAATTATTCAATTTTAAAGATAAAGGCTAAAAGTTTTGTGGGTTGTGCTGGATCGCTGGACTAATAATTGCGCGGCGAGTGTACGTGATATCCTATCCAATTTTAGTGTTTTAGAAGGTGGATGGAAGAGCTGCATTAGATCTCCTATCTCATATCCTATACCAATAATTTTTAAGAGATTTTTCAGATCTCCTATCTCGTGTCCTATACCAATAATTTTTAAGAGATTTTCTAGGAGATGCTTAATCTCTCCTAAATAAAAGGAGACAACCCCCTTTCCCATATCCTTAAAAAATATAGGAGATAGTTAGGTAATTTGTTGTAGCAGTGCTCTCCTATATCCTAAATGATTTTAAGATACTATCTTAAAATAATTTATAGGAGATTTAATATGAGAAATCTGGTAGAGATGCTCACCTTCCGTAGTTTCTTGCATCCTGACAACACTCATTATCAAAGCTGTCAAGTTACGGCGCAGCATGCAAAATCATGAGTACATGGACGCCATGCATAAGTCGCTGTCCGGTGAACTCATGATTCTTTTCGACCAACTTGTATTGTTCGAGCTACGTATTGCATACATGCACATATATATGCACATTCGGTCTGCCTAGCTACGGTTGCTTTCTTTTAACTTTTTATTACTTATATACATTAGTTGTCTAATTTTTTGTTGTTGTTTAGTTAATATATAATTTTTCACTGTTTGACTATAAAAATTATAAGTTATCTCTTGTCGTTGTTCTTTTATTTGTACTAGTTGGTTGTATCATCTAAAATCACGTGAAAATTCAGGCACAAAATGTAACAACTCCCCAGGCTTACTCCCTCTGTCCTTGAATAAATAGATTTATAGAGTTGTCTTAAGTTAAACTTTGATCAAGTTTATAGAAAAACATCAAGATTTATAATATTAAACTAGTATCATTAGATGCACAATAGAATATATTTTCATAATATGCTCATTTTATGTCATAGATGATGTTACTCTTTTCTATAAAGTTAATCAAACTTAAAAAAGTTTGACTGACACGGATTCTAGGAATTGATTTATTTTGGGAAAGAGGGAGTATTTATTTTCGCCTGGCTTGTAACAACTCCCTTAATTTTTGTCTCCTTTGCTTACCTAAAAGGATCACATCATCATATGCATGCACACGCCGCTTCTTTCTTTTTTTCATTTTTCATTTTTCTAATTCCACGTGCTTCTTTAATAGCCCGCATGAGACCTTATAAACACGATACCCATTGTTTCGTATGAAGAATCTTATGTACAAATTCATCAAACAAAGAGTTTTGTACAAAATCTCATCCATGTTGTAATTTAAAAACCTCATTAGTTTCTTGAAGTGCATGTTATAGTGTTAGAAAGTAAAAATGCTTATTGAATTGACTTCCAATTCTATACCTAATAATAATCTGTACCTAAAAATTTCTGGCCAATTTTTTCATCCATCATCCCCCAACTAACTTCGTGAATGTAGGAATTGTCTCCCTTAGCGACGTCTGTCTATAGCTCTCACGTTTTATATATAGTCACGACATCCAGAAATAGCCAGAATATAACTATGAATCCTAATCCAAATACAAGACGTACTAATCAAATTCCTTTTGTGTTTGTTGGAAACTAAGGCCACACGTGTCTTATACGAACCAAACTCGCTCACTTTGCGACACGATTAATTTGCGTAAAAAGGTTGCTCCATCCGTCCTAAATGCAAGGTACTTTAGGAATTTTAGAACAAATTATGAAAACAAATTATAAAGTAAAATAAATGAGACATATAACCCTCTATTAACTATATAAAGATCTCATTCTTATCGTATTTTATAAACCTTGTAGTAGGCATTAATGGCAGGTATGCATGTGATTGGTGCTTTTAAAGAAGTTAATATTTATCTAGAATACCTTATAATTTGGAGCAAAATTTTTAATACTCCAGTACCTTATGTTTCAGAACGGAGGGATCAAGTAGATGCATTTGTGCACACTATGTACCTATCATGTATACGAGTACTACACCTTAGTATGGCGCCATGAGCTTTGGTGCGGTGTATATGCACATCCATATAAGAGCATATCAACCAGATTTTCTATCCAATCTTTTATATCTAGAAAGTAGCATTTTATGAGATAAAGGTGTTGTAGTAGATCTCTTATCTCATCTCTTATACCTATAATTTTTAGAAGACCTCCTAAAAAAACATCATTTCTCCTAAATAAAGGAGGCAATTCTCTATCTCTAAAGGAGACAAGTTTTAGGTAGTCTGCTACAGTAGTGCTCTCTTATATACTAAAATGATTCTAAGGTACTCCCTTAAAACAACTTATTCGCGATGCAATATAGGAGATCTAGTGGAGATGCTCAAAGCTTTGGTGTCGTTATCATGCAAGCGCCGTCACCAGCCCTCTTGTTACATATATATTCTTGGCGCTGT